ATATTCTAAAAGACTCTAAAGCGGGTTTTTATTAAGTGAGTTGTTACAATAATTTATTTATTTTTATAAGATATTTAATAAATATTTAAAAAATATTTAACCCCTAAAAATGACAGAAACTGGAAACTATAACTTTTCTCAATCTAATGCACCAAATAATCAACAATATTATTTTAATCAACAACAATTAAATGGGCAACATTATTTTAATCAACAACAATTAAATGGGCAACAACAATTTAATAACCAATTAATACAGGATGAAAATAAAAATGATTTAGAAAAAACAAATAGATATTGGTGTTCCTTTTATATCTTTTATGGAATTTTTTTATTTCTTACTTTTGCATTTCTTGCAATTGTAATGATCTGTAGTGAGGATTTTAGAAATGGAATTCTTAAAGTTATTGGAATTAAATTAAACCAATAAATAGGTAATTGATAATTAAATAAATAAATTAATTGATTTTAAGTTTTTATCTAAATTAATAACAAAAGTACCGAAACTCTCAGAAGGCAAAGAAACTAATTTATTCAACCTATCTATAGAGGTACTCCTTATCTCTATTCCATTTTCTTCTTCTTCTATTTTATCTATCTTGTTAATATTAATTGTCTTATTTTCTAACTCTGTATCTGTCATAAAGAATAAATTTTTATTTTCCCTCTAAAAATATTCATTCAATAAACTAGTTCAATATGGCTAATTACATATTACGACAAAAAGAATGTTATTTTCTAATAAGTAATTAATTAACTATTTTTTAAACATTTTTAATAGAATTATATAAACTTATTAAAAAGTAAATTATTTGTTTTTAAATAAGTAAATAACATTGTCTTAAACTTTTTATAATATAAGACTTTTAAAATGCAGTAGCTTTCAAAATAAAAAGAGAATTTCATTTCTTCTTAAGTAAAAGAAATATAATAGAATGTCGTTGTTTTTATTGTTTATAATAATTTAATAGAAAAATTTGACTTTAAAATATCCTGTTTTTAAAAGACTCAATTTAATAATCAGTAATAAAAATTTAAATTACTAAAAAGAGAAATATCGTGTAAAGATATACAATATTTCTCAAAAAACGTGGATAAATAAAAAAATAAAAAATGTCATTAATAAAGAAACAACATATCATTTTTTGAACACAAATGCAACAAATATAGTGTGGTTATTGTCTTAATGATCAATTTACCAATTATAAAAATTTAAATCTATATTATTCTATTTTTTAAAATTTTATTTTAAAAAGTTCTTCATCTTAAATTAAGAATGAATAACAATAAATTAAAATTAAAATCAATATTTAAGAGTTACCACCAATTCATCGCGCGTGGATAGAATGTTCACAGATATTTATAAAATTAAATAAAAAACACTTTTAGAAATTATATTTAAAAACATTTTTAAAAAATTGACTAAAAAGCAAGGACAAAAAATTTAAATGTTTAGTAATATTTCATTTGCTTTGAAAACTACTTAACATCTTTTATGAAAGCTCAAAACATAATTTTGAACTAATTATACAGGTGTTTTATACTAAATCTCTGTTATCTTCTCATTAATTCATTTCTTTTTAATTTACCAAATTTACTAATTTTAATTTAACCAATGCCCATATTGTTTCAATAGGGTTCATATTTAGACTCTGAAGAAGTCAATCATAAACTTCCATTTTTTAATCTACCTAGTTAGAAAAAACCTTAAGTATGTTTTGGATCATTGTCAGGATAAAAATAAATTCATTAATACTTATTTCTGATGCTAGTTGTCTAATGTTTTTAGCTAGAATTTGCTTATACAAAGTAGTATTTATAGTTTTTTCGATAAAAACAATTATATCAACATCGCTATATGATATACAACTTAAACTATTACGGATCCTCCACCATATTTTACAGTTTGAATTGTATTTTCAAATTTTAACGATCTTTTAAGAAATACCTGACATGCTTTATTCCCTTACCGTTAGAAAATTAAATTTGTATTTATTAGTAAAAATTATTATCTTTAGGACTTCATTTAATATACTAAAAATTTTTTGTGATAATAGAAGTTTTTTCTTTATGTTAACAGGTTTCAAAAGTAGTTTTTTTATCAGTTTTGCTGTTACAGTTTAAAGTTACTTAATATTTAAGACACAGTTTACCTTAAAACATTTATTTTAAATGTCACAGAAATTTTTATATAATCTTTACACAAGATTCTTTGTGGTTTTTATCATTAATCAAAAATAGCCCCCTTTTAACTCGTCATTTTATAATGAATTCCTACCAGAACTATATTTTTGACCTTAAGGTATGTTCTTTTTCTAATTAAATATTAATTTTATTAACAAAAGATTTACTTAAACATCTTTTCGATGCAATCTGTCTTTGTGTCATCCCATTCTTTAGATCATCTTCAACTAAAACTTTAATATCATTAAAAATTTTTTAGCCATAATTGTGTTAGAAAGTTTTGTTAAAAAGAAAATATTAAGAAAGAAATTTTTTAAAAATATTTTTTATAAAGTTTATTTAAAAGAATAATTTCTATAAGTATTTTTTTTAAAATTCTATAACTATCTTTGTTGTATTTGTGTTTAAAAAAACTGCTTGGTATTTCTTTATTGTTGATTTTTTTTGTTTGTCTACGTTTTCTAGAACAATACTATACCTTGAATTATCATTAATGTAGAGTCTTTTAGTTCTTTAAAACTTAGTAATAATTTTAAGATAAATCTATTGTGTATTATTAAATAATTAAATTATGATTCACAAAGAACATTTTATTTTAAACACTAACAAGCGCTATTTCAAATGTCATTTAGCTGAAGACCAAGACATTAAATATTAATAAATTAAATCACTGATAAAGTTTAAATGTGAATTTGAAACAGATTAATTAAAAAGAAGTCTTTTTAACTAAAAACCTCTTTTTTCCGCTATTTATTATTTATATTTATATATAAATATTTTGGTCTTAAAATATTTATAACTGTTAAATTAAAATTTCTATCAATTAATAATTGAATTTAGTTAATCAAAATATTTATATAACTAACTATCTTTTTAGAGAATTTTTAATTATAATCTGAATGATTAAAAAATTTATTTCTTTTAATAAACAAATTAAGAAAATAATTT